CGACGCTGCTCATGTCCTGTGTTTGAGATAAATGAAGGTTGATAGGAGAGATTTCATGCTCTCTCTTAAAAACGTCTTAAATACTTTCTCAATGCATGCAGGTTGCAAGATTATAATTTTCTTTTACAGGGATATATTGGTTTGTTTTAATAAGACTTAGTCATGGAGGCAGAGGAGAGCAGATGATCTATCAGACTTGTCATTCTAACAGCTTTCATATCCTCACATGCTAATTTAGGTGCTGTCGATCTGATACAGACACAGCCCACATTAAAGCACGCACAGATAAATCTTTCAATATCAGTCAGTAACCCATATGGTGTACCCATATATTGTGCCATTGATAACTACTTTGTGTTTCAGAGCCGTCTCTGATACTCCACACTAATTCATCTGCTTGAATCCATTAGATAAATTTGAACTTTCTCTGCGGTGTCACAGGCCATCACTAGCAGAACTTCTTGGAGGGAGGAAGCAGCCCGCCATTTTCCTCCTCTCTCTTATTGTCTCCTTCCACTAATAGAGTCGGTTTTGTTATTGTGCTTGACAGGTTCTTATTCCACTGTCAGATGTAATTTGCCATCGATCTCACACCTTTTACACACCTGTGTGAGTGTGCTCTCTTGTGTGTGTGCTTTCTTCCATCCCCAGTCCATGTGACCGACCGTGTGTCTGTAACCATGTCCGTTTCAGTTTCAAACTGTCATATCTGTAATTAACGGCTCTAGACTGCTACAGAAATAACAGTCATCAGTGTTCAGACAGCGACTGTGCCACTCAAACTCCCGCTGAATGAGATATCGATGAACTAGCGGATAATCCATATTCAAACGCTCGCAATTTGGGCTGAGAGTATGAACAGCTCTGTAAAAATCAACGTTATGTTGTTTAAATTGTAGGATGACAAGTAAAATGCCGGTGTCTGGTTTATTGTGAGGACTCAGACTATCTAAGGACAGAGAGTAAGAGGAGGCTATTTACCCTGTCGAGCAGTTCCACTTGATAACAGACTATTGATCCAATTTTGGAGTCTGAACGCTTCAGTATTGGTTCCTCGTGAAGCCCGAAGGTTGTCGAGGGTAGTGTGTGATTCTTGCGTGGTAAAGTGAACTAGACCGGGTTCAGTGGGCGCATGATTGGGTAATCGAGCTGATGGATTTAACTCATTTGGCTAAAGTAAGTTTGGACACATTTGCACTCCTTGTATAGAGGTAGTGCTGTGATTAAATAAGCAGGGTTAAAATAAGTGGCAGTATTGAGTTGGCTCCTGCTGCAGGCCTGTTCCTTGGCCAACGTGTCTTAATTTCCTCAGGTTTGCTTAGAGTTGATCTAATTAGACCTTAAGAAACGAGATGACTTCAGCTTTTTCATTTCAGGCAAGGTTTATTAGGACTATTAGCTATATGGAGTTGAGAGTTAAAACAACAGCTTAGAAAATTTGCGCTGAGGCTGCTAATCGTCTCTTGTGCTCAGTCATGTAGAGCTTTGGTGCTCAAGCGAGTGATGTACTGTAGGTTTGTAATGTCATTCCTCTAATTTCTGTGTGCAATGATACAGTCAGAACTCAGCAAGCTTGTCAATCTACAGATCGCCATCATTTACCATGGAGTTACTGTAGTAACACTAACTGCACCATGATATTGTGGCAGAAATGTGAAATATTCATATCTAATTTTATAATATTATTAATGTAGGCATGTATTAAATGTATTAAAGGAGTAGGCTAATGCAATATAATTGTATGTAATTAATATTTTTGTGATTAAGCTATAGCGTTTGTGCATTTATATTTAGACTACTGTTTTTCATACACATAGCTAGAAACCATATGGTTTTGGATAATGGACATAAATTTACATCTGCATTCCAACTCAAGCTACTATCAACTGAAGCTACAGACAAATGTGCATTTCTAAGAGACAAAAAAATGTAAATGTAGTATTATTAATATTATAATCTATCTATCTGTACATATTTACCTGTTTTTACGTGAGATTACCTTTGACGTCAGTCTGTCATACTGTTAGATGTGATATTTCGATATCGATCATGTATCAGTACATCCATATAGCTCGATCCCTCCTTTAAAATAAGTCTAGACTTTTTTCACTCAGTTTATTACCTGTCAGGTAAAAATCTCAATTCTGATTGCTTGTCAAAGTACTGTAATAGCACACCTCTTAAGTTGATTTGAGATATTGATGTTTATAGCACAAACCGTGTCAGTCTCTTTATCTTTAATCTTTAATACTAATAGTGTGGCAGATTTGATACATAAGTGTTTGGTATTATGATGTGTATTTTTGTGGTTTTGTTTTCTTGCGTGTGTGTTTGGTGGTAGTGGATGGTGGTGTTAAAGATGAAACTGAATTGAATCCTGTCTGCTCTCATATGTGGGCAACTCTTACAGATGTTTCCCTTCGGACGCTGGCCCAGCCAGTTTTATTGGAGGGCCGACATTCTGCTAGAAATAAATGAGACATCACACAGAGCCAAATAGGAAGGGGGAGACAGAGAGAGAGCAGGAAAGCGAAATATTAGCGTGAAACCCTTTGCTCTCTTTTCTGCTTCCTTCTCTCTCTCTTCTCCCAGGGTGAGCAGATTGATGACATTTCTAAAGCTCCATGCTCTCTCCTCCCTCTGGTACAGAGGAAGTGCTCCTCTCCTCTCCTGCCTCTGTGAATAAATCAAAACCCTTCCTCACCGATCATGCCCCAGCCCTTCTGCTGCGTGTGTGTGTGTGTGGAGAGGTTCTGGCCATAAAGATCTGTCAGGAATAGCAGTGGGCCTAATCAGAAATAAGGGTTTTGGTCTTGGGAAAGGAATGATAGCAATCAGTGATGGATGGATGGATGGATGGATGGATAGATGGATGGATAGATGAGGAGGTATTGGTTGAGGGGAAGTGAGGATTGCGTTGAGGGTAATGCTGCGTGCCATTAAAAGTTTGGAAGTGAGAGATTCCTACTTGATGGCTCTGTTCCAAAATTTAGTGAGCTTCCTTGCTGTTTACTGCCTACACAGGCAGCATCCTAATTGAATTCAACCCCAAAAGGGACAAATAGGTGTACATAAGCTGCAACTCCACAAATGATTAATACATGGCTTGCTAAGCTAACAATGTGATACTCTAAGGAGCAGAAAAATACATTTTGTAATTAAAATTAAAGTACTATTAAAGGGATGGTTCACCCAAAAATTAAAATTCTGTCATTAATTACTCGCCCTCATTGTCGTTTCAAACCCGTAAGACCTTCGTTCATCTTCAGAACACCTATTAAGATATTTTTGATGAAATCCGAGAGCTTTCTGACTAGGTCTGGGCGATAAAACGGTATCGATATTTATCGACGGTACACCCTCTTCGATAACGGTAGAAAAAATGTTCGCTATAGCACACGATATAGGCACGTGCTGAGTGACGCAGGCAGCACACACAAACATGAACACATGCTGAATTGAGTGCTGAATTGGGTTAATTTAAAAATACAGTGGTTAAATTTAAACAGTTTTTTCTATTGCTCTTTGTTTTTAAAAAAAAGGTTATAAAAAATGTCAATAATTATCGATACCGAACGATATGAAACATTATATCGTTGATACATTTTTTAGCTATATCGCCAAGCCCTATTTCTGACCCTCCATACAAGCAGAGGAATGCACACGCATACGTCATGGTACTCTTGTGAATGCGTGTCGAAGACTGACACGGAAGAAAAGAAATTGGTGATGATGATGTAAGTGACGTTGTTGCATTTTAATGTTTTATAAGTCTAGCCCACAGTTGCTGCGTTATACATTCAAAATATTAGAGAAATAATTACAGTTGAACCACTGATGTCACATGGACTATTTTAACGATGTCCTTGCTACATTTCTGGGCCTTGACCGTGGTAATTCCAATGCTGTCTATGCAGGGTCAGAGAATAAAAATATCTTAATTCATGTGTTGTAAGATGAATGAAGGGCTTACGGGTCATGAGGGTGAGTATTGAATGACAGAATTTTCATTTTTGGGTGAACTATCCCTTTAAAATCAACTTTCGCTTCATTCGCTATAAAGAGTTGCCTTTTTTCACAAAAAGTTGTGTAAGACACTTCTGTTTTAACTTTAAGAGTTGTTTGAAATTTACCCCTGGTTTCACAGGCAAGGCTTAAGCCTAGTCCCAGTCTAAAATGTAAGTCTGAGCTGTCTGAGCTGTTTCAGCTGAAAGAAACTTGCACTGAGTGATTTTAAAATATATCAGTGCCTTTGTTTTGTCTTAAGATGGACAGTAATGTTTTTTTTCTAAGGCACATCTATAAAAATTACTTAAATGTCCTTATTGAACTATGGCCTAATCCTGGCTTAGTCTAAGCCCTGTCTGTGAAACCAGGCCTCAGAGTTTAATAATTAAATTTATCTAGGATGATGAAATGTGTTTTTTTTTATGATGGGAAATTACTATTCAAAGGCTTAGGTAAGTTTTTTTTTTTTTTAAATAATTATTTGATTAATATTTTAATATTAATTAACATAAAAATTATAAAACATTATTACAATTAAATAACTGCTTTCTATTTATATATATATATATATATATATAAAAAAGTAATTTATTCCTGTGATGCGAATCTGAATTTTCAGCAGCTATTACTTCAGTCTTCAGTGTCAAATGATCCTTCAGAAATCATGCTAATATGCTGATTTAGTGCACAAGAAGAATGACAGTTAAATAACCCCAGTCTCATAAGGATGGAGATAAATAATAAAAATGATGCAAAATGCTGTATCATACATAGCTGGTAAAGAGATATGTTGTATCCTGAATATAACACTCTCTTATTTAAGTTATTCATACACACACACACGCACATTTTCCTGAATGTGACAGTGTGTATTGTTTATTTATGTGTTTACTCTCCTGCTGCCTCTCTCAGGCAGGAAACCTCTAGTTTTACCAGCAAACTCCTCTTTCTGTCCCTGACTGCATTTATTCACTGCATTCACTCTCATATACATATGCTCTACATGCACAGACGCACACGTGTGGAGGCCGCTAGAACAGCAGTGCAGCAGAAGTCTAAGTGCAGTGTCAGTGACTCTGTGAATAGGGACGGATGCATGTATTTAACTGTGCTGATGAGGCCGGCAGGCCTCACACACATAAAGTGAAGTGAATGGATGTCATCGCATACCGAGATCAACGCATTACACACTAGCCATGCTGGGCTCTTTAGATGTCCTCTGTAGCGTCCTGATCCATAAGGTAATGAAGGCCAGTGTGAATCATTTGATTTCTTTATATGTAAAATATATTGGGTATAAAATATTTTGCAGTGTTGCCCAAATTCTAAAATGTTTCATTCCACATATAGTGCGTTATTTTATAACCATAATGCACTTTGATTTATAGTGTAAAACGGACACGTGCTGACAAAACCGTTCCAATGTGAAAATGTTTTTGATAGAAGTCTCTTATATTGACAAGACTGCATTTACTTGATCAAAAATAAAGTAAAACATTAATATTCAGAAATATTAATGCAATTGAAAATAGCTGTTTTCAATTTTAATACATTTTAGAATGTAATTTATTTCTGTGATTTTAGCATCATTACTTCAGTCTTCAGTGTCACATGATCCTTCAGAAACCATTCTAATATGTTAATATGATGCTCAAGAAACATTTCTTATGATCAATATTGAAAACAGTTGTCCTGCTTAATATTTTTGTGAAAACCCTGATACAGTTTTTCAGGGTTCTTTATGAATATAAAATTCAAAAGAGCAGCATTTATTTGAAATATAAATCTTTTGTAACAATGTAAAAGTCTTTGTCACTGGATCTATTTAATGCTTCCTTGTTGAATAAAAGTATGCATTTCTTAAAAAAAAAATCATCAGTCTATTTAAAAAATGTGTTTTGCAATATAATGAGAAAAATATGCATATTGGTAATGAGTAATTTATTTTTAGACATTAACTTAAAGTTAATGGCAAGTGTTTTATCTTTCTTGACTAAGCAATTTGCTGAGAACATTAGTGTTGAAGGACTGTACGCAGACAAAATGATCATTTGGTCAATGGTTCAAATATTAGGTTTGCTACTTTAGGGGTGAATGAACACCAGTCACTCCCTCGTTTTCATTTACTGCTCTATGTGGTGTATAGGCAAAAGTGATTGAGTGGATAAATGAGAAATTTGGATACAGCCATTGTGTGATGCTTGTAGAGTTGTCTTTAAGCAGCAGTTATGGTGTTCTGATTACGTATCACCCAGATGATAACCCAGAGGTTATTCTAAATGGTAGGCTATGATTATGATTAGGCTACGTGTTTACATGTGTTTGTGTGTATTTCTGGCATTGGGTATGCATTGTGATGTGGTCAGTGTTTCTTAAGTCTGTGTGTCAGTCTGTGCTACTTTATTTTTAATTTTTAAATGAAAGCTTAACTTGAGTGCATAATTCTCAGTGCTTCGTGGTATTGGGTGGGCGAGTTTTTTTGCATAATCATGTATAATATAGTTTTTTTCACCAGGGATTAAGCTGTTAAGCATGATTATTTGAAAAAGTAAGCTGGAGTAATGTGCACTGATTACAAAAACCAACAATTAACAACTTTGGAGCTCAGAGTAGGTCGGTTTCTAGGTCTTAAGTTATCGTTAAAAATCAATTCCCCTATGTCTTTCCCCTTTTGAAATCCGAATCTTGCACTCGGTTCCTCTATGAGCATCTCTTTAACTGTACATTTTAACTGTATCTGACCTATCTGCTCTAAATTATACTGCTCTGCTGTGTGTCCCACAGCTGATCGCTGTATACGAGGAACAGGAGGCCCAGAAGAGGGGCGCCATGAGTCCCGGGAATGGAACAGGGACAAGAAGCAGCCTAAACGGACAGTCCAGCCCAGAACCCTATGACTCTGAACTCGCCTGCTTCCAGCCAATCAAAGGAGGAGAGATCGAAGTCAACTCATCTGCTCTCAAATCCAGTATGTATCCAGTAGAAAAGATGAGCACAATCTGTAAAAAAGTTATTGGTACTATATCCGCGTTAGAGAAACAGAGCTGTGATCAAACATAAGCGCTTCTGAGTTAATGGTGAGTGAAATAATAGACTGCCACTATGAAAGATGATATTATATGCCATAATCAGGCCCTGTTTTAAGCTTGAAATGCTCTGACTCACTCATGTAGCTGTGAACAAATGAACACCATTCTTACTGCATTACGGCACTGTTTCATATTAAAGTATCACTTTTAATACACAACTCACCTTAATCAACCTCTGTTTCATATCTTTAAACTAATAATATCTGCCTGAAGAATTTCACCATCAGAGAAAAAGCAGTTGATGCTGAGAAGTACGAAACTTTTATATTTAGACCTCCGGCTTTTTTTTTCTTCATATATTTGGAACATATTCTCTTAGTTTGGACAGGTCTGGAAAACTTCAGTTGTTTCAGTTCTGTACTACTGCTCCTCAGGGAACCATGTGTTTTTCATCTGGGCAGGTTTCACCTCTGCCTGATGTCATGCACACTTCCAATACAGAAAACGCATACCTATTTCTTCTAAATGTCACCGTGTGTGTGTGATTTAGAACATGTTTACACTCTGAAATGAAACCCTCAGTGAAATAAGCCGGGGAATCGTGTGTATGTATGTTCGCATGTGTGAGTTTCTTTGTGTCTCCTTGTAAATCTGCCCCTTTGTGTTTTAAGTTTCATTGTAAAAGTAGACATGGGGCTTGCAAAGTTCAGCGTGCTGGAAAAAGTGGCTTTTTTTTCGCGATCCAGGCATTCCTGGGAAGTGCTCGAGTTTCCTCGTCTCTACTTCAAGGTAGAGGTGTCAGTTGACTGAGTGATCTTTTCCTCTTTCATTCTCCACGGCTGTAAATATGCCGTTTGTCACGTCGACAGGGTCTGACATACATCTGTATCTGGATCATTTGTAAAGAAGAGAGATCACACATGCCTCTGCATATACAGACATGATGTTTGAGTGGGGAAAGAAAGTGGTAGAAGAGCGTTTGAAATTGTAACTCAAAGGTGTTCACACATGGCATATGAACATAAACCGGTCCGTGCCCTCTGTCTGGCAAAATTATGGGGTCTCTAGGTGTGTTTTAACACCTGACATTAACATGCGTTTTCAATGGTGTCCTGCAGTGATGACGTATTTTTGTTGGCCAACCTGGACATTAGCATCACTTAGGTTCCCTCAATAAAAACCCATTTGGATTTTTTTTCATTGGCTTTGAGATTATTGCAAAAAATAACCAACAAATGTTTATGATTATTACATGTTTTGTTCACCCTGAAAATCTTCACAAATGAGCACAACAGTAGACTCGGTGCGGAAACGATCTCTGCACTGCTGCAGACGCACCGCTACTGGAACACACTGCCGGACAGTAACCGTGTGCAGTATGCACGCTTTATTAATCCGTTAACATGAACGCGGGAAAAATACACACCACATACGCACTGCAAACGGAGTAATGTGAACCTGGCATTATGTGTGTGCGCTGCGAGTGTGCATGAGCGCACGGTCTCCAGGAGAGCGCGTGAGCGCTGGATGGTTAAACACCGGCAAGAATTAAAAAGTAATGCAATTTATAAACTTTAGTGACGATGTGACACTGCTTCGATTGTGCAAGTGACAATTCCTGTGTCAACTGTGCAGCGTGCAGCTCGCTTATAGTGCAGACGCGATGTGGTGATTTGAAGACATTTGCATATTTTGAGAGAGAGCGCGCGCGCTGATTCACTCACGCTGTTTGTGAAATTACGTCTCACACAAGGTTTTCAAATTACTTTATAAGTTATTCAATGAAGAAATATGAAGTTGAGTACCTCACCTTCAGTATTATAATGATTTCACCCGCGCCGGACAGAGACCCCATGTCATCGGAGCGACCCTAATATATATATATATATATATATATATAGTTAGGTCCATATATATTTGGACACGGGCACAATTTGTATTATTTTAGCTGCTGACCAAAACTCATTTAAGTTACAGTTATGTTTGAGGGTATTCTTATCAAAATTGGATTAAAGTTTAAGGAATTACAGCTCTTTAATATGTACCCTCCCCCCTTTTTCAAGGGACCATATGTAATTGGGCAGTTGACTCAAAAGCTGTTTCATGGGCAGGCGTGGGCTATTCTTTCTTATTTCTACATCAATTAAGCAGGTAAAATGTCTGGAGTTGTTTCTAAGTGTGCCATTTGCATTTGGAAGCTTTTGCTGTGAGCCCACATCATTCAGTCAAAGGATCTCTACATCAGCAACATAAAAAGGCCTGGACGTCCACGGAGGACAACAGTGGTGGATGATCGGAGGATCCTCTCCATGGTAAAGAAAACCCTTTCACAACATCCAGCCAAGAGAAGAAAACTCTCCAGGAGGTAGTCGTGTCACTGTCAAAGTCTAAAATCAAGAGAAGACTTCATGAGAGAAAATACAGAGGGTTCACCACAAGGTGCAAACAAGGCCAGATTAGACTTTGCCCAAAAAAAAACTTCTAAAAAAGCCAGACCACTTCTGGAAAGGCATTCTTTGGATGGCTGAAATTAAGATCAACCTGTACCAGAATGACGGGAAGAAAAAAGTATGGAGAAGGCTTGGAACAGCTCATGATCCAAAGCATACATCATCTGTGAAACACGGTGGAGGCAGTGTGATGGCATGAGCATGCATGGCTTCCAGTGGCACTGGGTTACTGGTGTTTAGTGATGACGTGACAGAGGACAGAAGCAGCCGGAAGAATTCTGAAGTGTATAGGGATATTCTCTCTGCCCAGAGTCAGTCAAATAGAGCAAAGTTGATTGGGCAGCGCTTCATAGTACAAATGGACGATGACCCAAAATATGCAGCAAAAGCAACCCAGGAGTTATTGAAGGTAAAAAAGTGGAATATTCTGAAATGGCAATCTCCTGATTTCAACCCGATTGTGCATGCATTTTCTCTTGCCGAAGACAAAACTAAAGGCAGAAAGACCCACAAACAAATAACAACTGAAGTCAGCTGCAGTAAAGACCTGGCAAAGCATCACAAAAGAGGAAAACCAGTCTTTGATGCCCATGAGTTCCAGACTTAAGGCAGTCATTGCCTGCAAAGGATTTTCCACAAAATATTAAAAATGAACATTTTATTTGTGATTATATTTATTTGTCCAATTACATTTGAGACCCTGAAAATGGGTGGACTGTGTATAAAAATGGTTGTAATTCCTAAGAATTTTGTTATTTTTGTTCAACCCCTTGAGTTAAAGCTTGAAGTCTGTACTTCAATTTAATCTTGATTGTTTTATTTTTAAATGTGCTGTAAGTTTTTGACTCTACTAGAGCATAAAAATACCATAATATGTTTGCAGTTATTTAAGAAACATGCTAAGTTAACATACTTGTTTATCTGAAAAACAATACTACAGTCATTTATTCTCCTTTGAAAATGTGTGTTCCGTGTCGGAATGTCTGTCTCTGTTTTGGTCTGTGTAACCCGCCCACTGCCCGTTTACCCAATTGTATTTCGGCACCCCCGGGTTGCCAGTTGGCGGAAAACAGCGTATTTCATTTCAGTCATGGAAGCTGCCAAACGAAAGTGGTCAGTTCCTGTTGGTGTCGTCAATCTGGCAACCTGCGTTTGCGTCAAGTCTGAGGAGGAGGGGCCGGTTGAAAAAAAACCCTCTCCAATATTTTGAGTTTGCAATCCTACATACAGCACCTTTAATCCTGTTCTGGTGGCATACAGAGCCGAAATTGTGAAAATTGTGTTAGTGTCGAAATATTGATGTACCTGACTGTATATAGGCCTATATAACAATTATAACAAATACCACAGCAAAAACATCTAGACTAACTAATATAGATTATTGTTATAGATTATTGTTAAAGGGATAGTTCACCCAAAAATGAAAATTCATACATCATGCACTCACCCTCAAGTTGTTTCAAACCTTGAGTTACCAAAAAAAGTTACAGAAATTATTCAGTCAAGATCACTGAGTGATTTTCTTATTCTTTTGTTCTTTGAATAACGTTGATGGCACAGCCAGCAGCAGGAATATTAGGCTGCTGTCACTTTAAGACCTCATGCACAGATCTAATATAATGTTATACATATTTTCTTTATCATCACCAACATCACCACCATTTTCAACACCATTGTTTCAACATTTTTCACCACCAGCTTTCAACAACTCTTTCAGTCTTTATTTAAAATCATTTTTCCTGAAAGTTTGAGTTAGAATAGTTTGTAAGATTGTGATAAACACGAGGCTCTCAGAGAACCTCTGTAGTCCCATTTAGAAACTTGTCAACAACCACCTTTTTCAAGACAAGTAAAAGCTCTTAAAATATCACAAGGGGTATTAAATGTATTTTATGTTTTAGAATAAAGGACCTTGTTTCAGGCAAAAACCCATTAAAAATCCATTGATTTTGGGATAATGAACTGGAAGTGCATTTCAGGTTTTTGGCCTACAGAAATATGTAATTCTTGCAGCAATCTATGATTGCCTTTATTAAAAGGTGCAAATGCATCCTGAACGCAGGTGATTGGGTCACTGAACAGGTGGCCAGGGACTGTTTCAGACCACATTCAACAAAGACTGTAACAAAGACCAGTCTTTGTGATGTGGTTGCACGATTTTGTGTACACCTCCTTATAAAAGTATTTTGTTGAAACTCTATGATCCCTGCAAAGATTTATCATTAAGAAATAACCTTCCAGATCAATGAGACGCACACCCTGCACTGTAAAAAAAAATTATTTAACAGGTTTTTACTGTAGCATTTTTACAGTCTTTTACCGTTAAATTCACGGTCATTTTTTACAGTGTGGTATTTCCCCAAATACCCAGCGTATGGTCCGACCCGCCTCTCTAAGTGGATTATTCTTCCTGTTCAAATGAATGCTCAGCACTCAGCCATCCATGAACACAGGAAGAGCACACGTCGTCACAATCCAATCAGCCACCTTTCATTTAGTTATATGATGACCTGGGAAATCCCTGTTACCAGAGCAGCTCTCTAATACTATTTTATGCTCTATAGGTTTGTTTTATTACCCCAATTAATTCACAAAGCAGAAAGGCAAAAAAAATAAATAAATCAATTTCATCTAGATTGTTCACCGGCTGGGCAGAGCAGAGGAGGAGGGCTGAATTTAATGTAGAGGTTTGCCTTTATGCAGATCTATGAACGCAGTTGCTTTTAGCTACGAACACTTGATTTCATGCATAGGACATTGCCACAAGGAGTGCTGTATTGGACATTTGTGTGAAAGTTTATGGCCAGTTGTATGGTCAGTGTCACTTTGTATTTGCAATAAAAAAATTATTGTATATACTCTATTGTTCAAATGTTTGGGGTTGAAAAGTTCTTTTTTTATTTTATATATATATATATATATATTTTTTTTTTTTTATAGTTCTTGCTGAATTTATTTGATTGTACTGGGAAATATTATTACAATTTAAAGTACACTTAAAAATATTTTAAATTTAATGCATTCCTATCAAGGCAAAACTAAATATTTAGCAGCCATTATATTTTTAGCTTCTTAATATTTTTGTGGAAACCTTGATGCTTTATTTTCTTACAGAATTCTTTGATGCCTAAAAAGTTCAGAAGAACATAATTTATTTAAAATATCTTTTTTAAAACATTTTTTTTCAGTCGCTTTTTTGATCAATTTAATGCATCCTTGCTTTTTTATTGCATCCTTTTGCAAAAAAAATCCTGTTTTACATGTTTCACCTAGTGGTTTCAGACTTTTGTACTTCACTACAAAGGGACTGTATTCGAATCTGCATTTGCGTGTATGCAAGTATGTCTCTGCCCTTAGACTAAAGGGAATTGAGTCATTGTTTTGCCAGCATTTGAAGCGGTTTTTTGGGTATTGACGTGCCAGAAGTGACTGTTTACATGTTCAGTCAGTGAGTATGTGAACTCATAGATCATTTTAATTTGATTTGAAAGGATGTTGTTTTGGCACTGTGGGCTGTTTAGCACACATATGTTTGCACTAGTGATGTCTGCTTTGATAAGTATGCCCAGAGGTCTGTTGAGACCAGCAGTGTCATCTGGAGTCTGTCAGTGAGTACACACACACACACACACACACACACACACTAGGGCTGTGTATCACCAGCAAAGTCACGATACGATACGTATCACGATACAGAGGCCACGATACAATACGTATCACGATACATGACTGCACTGAATTTCACCTCAGCAGAATTTAGAAAAACTGCTGTTTATTAAACACTGCTTACTATAGTGCCATTTCTAACTATTGGCAGAGCAGGCAGTTGGCCTCTGCATTATGAAGGGCCTCCATAACTACCACAGTACTCGACGTGTCCGCAAGTTCGCTTAGGTGCGCGCGGCAAATATGCCGTCATCGCTGTGTTGGCGGAAGTTCGCTTTGAGTGCACGTGACATCGTTTCGCGTGGCGGTGTGCACGACATTTTTTGTAACTTTCCGCGCAGCTCCGCTTCCGAAGATGCACGAGTTCAAAGCGACTCTAGCCGAACATGCACGTCTGTGCCAGCATTTGTGTGAAATGTTGACATGTTTGATGTTAAGTTCAGTCACACACACAAGATCACGTTGCGGCCGCACTCAAGACATTCAGGAACAAACTTTTTAGCGCTGCCCCGCAGTTTTATCAACTAAACAGCTTAATCGCTCAAGAACATTATCTTTCTCAACAAGGAGCTGGTAGCATCATTGCGCTGTCTTCACTGTATCTAACGCACACACGCTCAAGGCTGATTTAAGGCTGATTTATACTCGATGCGTCCGCAACTTCGCTTAGGTGCGCGCGGCAAATATGCGAGAATAGAATATTGAAGAGGAGATCGCTAAACTGCAAGCTAACCAGTGTTTTCAGAAAGCGAGCGCGTTTATCCACAGTGGAGAGAGCGCGTGTGCACAGGGTTGCCAGGTTCACAAAGATAAGTAGCACACTTAGCAGATATTTCCGTATTGCGCAAGTGTAAAGCTCTGTTTTGGGGATTACGTCTCTTTATATCAGGCAACTCAGTTGTGTTCCTCTGCGGCCAGATTAAACCTTGTTGTAGCCTATATATGCTCTATTCATTCTTTTTTAGAAACCTCGCACTTTTCTACTCAATTTTAAACGTAAAATTTGAAACAAATTAAGCGTGGCGGTCCACTGCTGCACACGTGCCACAATATCGATACAGGGCCAGCTGTATCGATACTTGTATCGTCAAATCTCTGTGACGATACATCGTCGTATCGATATTTTGAACACAGCACTAACACACACACACACACTTCCTAGTAGAGAGATTCCCCACATACTCCCATTCTGCACACTTCATATATGTAATTTAGATGTTTTCATCATATGTAGTTTCGTGGAAGGTTCAATCGGCGGCTCTGTGCTGTGGTCAGGATATTAAACATAAGCGTTTATTCTTTTTGCCTGTTAATTGTTGAAATGCAAGCTTTCATTCATTGCTCATCTTCTGTTTGTTTTATTACAGCAGACATGAGTGTGGTTGTTCCACATCTATTTCAGTGATATCTAATGAGACGTGAGCTGTTGGGAGGAAGAGGTTGTGGATTTGTTCTGACACACATTTAAACATTCAGCACGCTAGATGTTTGGCATTAGAATGCTTGAGTTAAAACATGAGAACGACTTTAGTTGAAAGACTTTAATTAGTTTGTCACACTGGAGCAGCCGTTAGACAGTTCTCATCACTCATGGGGCTCACTTTTAATATTAAGTTGGAGAAACGCTAAAGTTGCTCTGCATTCTTCAGTTGGAAATAGTTGGCATGTGAAAATTGGAAATGCTCATTTTGAGAGGAAGTGACATTGTTGGGCCGCTGAATAATTACTAGTGCATCTCAAAGAGCTTATGGGTGTTTCTTCAACTATGGGCACTTTTGGCCCTGTGGACTTTTAGAAAATAAACTCTCTAAACGCTTTTCAAACTCACACTAGTTTGTTTAATTAGTCTGTTTACAATGTCCAACAGGAGATTAATCACAGTATTGTTTTTTTTTTAAAGTCTTGAACATTTCCTCCAGTGTCATTTCCATCACATCTCGAATCCTGTCATTTGTTTGATAGCATTCTGTGGTGGAAACTACTTTTTTTATATATATATATATATATA